TACCGCACGCGCAGCGCATACGTTGATTGTTACCGTCGAGCGCATACGGTATTGTTACCGCAGAGCGCATTTGCCTGTTACCGCCAAGCGCATACATTCTAGTCATTTGTTATTACCGATACCGACATTTTAAGCGCCGTTATTAAAGCGCATCGGCCGAATATATCGAACGCGGACTTTAAATCGCGCCGAGGAATCAATAGTCCCGCGAAAGTAACCGTCGATTCCGAGAATCCAAGCATTCTCGGAGCATCGGGATTCCCCGCAGAAGAAGCGCCGCAAAAACTCGCGCCGTCTCGCGCTTCGTAAACACCGGCCGGCGTCGAATATTGTTACCGAAATTAAAGCCGCTTTTGATTTCCGGATAATCGTTGCACCCGAATATTACACACACACACACACACACACACACACACACACACACATTGCACTGTACATTCATATACTTTTACAACAATAAAGAAAACACAAACGTAACACACCGCGTATTTTATTTCCCGAACCTTGCACCGGCGATCTATCCGCGCTATGAAAAACGCCCGAAAATACGACTGTTACAGTGGAAAGAATTGAAAATTTCAACCACATTCTGTAATGCATCTCTGTCCACCGCCATCAAAACATCATCAACATAGCGATAATAAAATTTAATTTTTTTGCCGATTTTAAATAAGGCTTTGTTTTCAATGTCCTGTAAGACTAAATCTGCCACTATCGGTGATAGAGGGGAACCCATGGGAATTCCAAACGTTTGCCTGTACACCTTTCCGTCAAAGTTAAAATAGGTGGAGTCAAGGATAAATTTTACTATTCTTAAAAATTATTTTTTCGGTACATTAGTGAATTTTTCTATATAAGACCATCTGTTTGAAATGGCACCGATAGCTAATTCAGTTGGGACATTAGTAAACAAGGACACCACATTCAATGACACTAAAATATGATTGTCATCTATTACGGTATTCGATAAAATGTTATAGAGCTGGTAACTATTTTTAACAGCACTTCTGGCAGTTGGAAGACTGCTTAAAAGAATTTTTTGAACAAATTTTGCTATGTTATACAACGGGCTGTTAATAGACGAAACAATGATGCGAAGAGAAAAATTCTGCTTGTGAATTTTCGGTAAACCGTAAATTTTTGGCAGTGAGCCATCACTTGATCTCAGTGTATAATATTGTTGTTTGGATATATGTATAATCATTGTTAAGCCACATTTTTACAATATTATTAAGTTCCAGCTCTATTTTTTTACAAGGATTTTTTCGGACCTCTATGTATGTACTAACATCGCTAAGCATATTACAGATTGAGTCAACATAATTGTTTTTGTTAAGAGCCACAGTAATGTTTCCTTTATCTGCTCTAGTGAAAATAATTTCTGGATGTTCTTTTTTGTATTTCATGCTTGTAATAGACAGATCAATGAATCTTTTATCATCGTTGGAGATTGAGTGCTTTCTTTCATTGAATTTTTGTAATTGTGGAATAATTAGATTACGGATTTTAAGTCTATCATTTTCCTTGCATTTTCTTAAGTTACTTTCTATGTCTTTTATGAATTCAGTAATTAGTCTAGTCTTGTTGTCAATAAACGGAAGAGCGAATTTTTCTCCTAATTGTAACAATTTAGAAACATCATCTGGGATGTAGTGTCCAGAAATATTCATGAACTATTTTTCATTAACATTGCTCAAAGGATTGAAAGGAGTGGAGTTAAATTCATTGGGATGGATAGAGATCTTAAGTACCTTTGAAACATCTTCCCCAACGGGTTCTGTTAAGGAATACTGAGGTTTAGAAGTGTTATTATTGTTTATGGAACAATAATAGTTAATGTTCTGTAATCTATTTAAATTGTTGAAGTCCACTCTAGTTTTTGTCTTTCTAATTTTTTCCAATGTTTTCGATTTTAGTCTGTTGAAGCATTTGGTAAAATTAATCAAATGGTGCCGGAAAATTTTCTCCCAAATATCTGTTGGTAATAAGTTAGCTAACTTTTTCGACAACAAGTCTAGATTTTTGTTTACGAAGTGAATTAATCTGTGAGTGTCAACAATCTCCAACCTTATAGCTCTTATTTTGAATTGGTCTAACAATTTATCTTTTTTCATTAATGATCTAGGATGAGAAACATTTATGTGAGCTCTTTTTAAGATGTACAAGTGTGGAGGAATCAAGTCATTCGAGATGCGACCATATTTTTGAATCTTAACACTTCGTGACTGAAGAGATGCAAGTAAGCATCGAAACGTCTCACTTTTTTGTCACTCTCTTAATAAATGCGACTTATTGACATTCTTTTTTAATCTTTTGTTTTTTTAACTGACCTACCATCCACAGTTTAGCTCGTATCAGGCTGTTTATTGTATTTATGTTTCTTAATTCGTATTAACGAGCTTTATTATTAAAGTATTTTAATTCTTAGAAGAATTTAATAATTTTAAATTTCAAAACGACCTGTAAAACGACCTATATATTAAGTACAATGGTGTTATGCAAGAAGCATAAGGACCATGAGGACAACACTTGCTATATGTTGTCATATGGAAGTTGTCGGACCTATAAAACGATCTATGTATAGTAAATACAGGAATCAATAGGGGAACACTTGTTACATTCCGTCATACGGAAATTGTTGGACCTATAATATAAAACGACCTATAAAATGAGCTATAAAAATGACCTATAAATGACCTATAAATGATCTATAAATGATTTATAAATGACCGTGTAACCGAAAGAATCCATCGACGTTGATCAAAGATCTAGCCTGGAACGCGCTACTAATAAAATGAGCAAAGTCGATTCTAATTCGAACGTTCGCGGAAGAGAACTAAGATACGAAATAGCGAACAATATTAACTAAATAAGTTGAATGGAATCGGGCTCTATCGCTCCCAAATCGGCAGTGGCCAGCAAAATCTAAAGAAGTATTCAAACAACGCGCGCAGGGGGCTATGCGGGCGGAGATCGGGAGGGAAGGCGCTGTCCTTCGGCGCTATCCTTCGGCGTCGAGATCGGCGAGACGTTTGAAATATATAAAGCGTCGTATTAATAGATCGTATCGAGATATGCGGAATGAAAGAGCAGCGCGTTAGACGAAAAGAGATACGTACCTCGATTAAAACTCATCGTCGCCCGTGTGGACGTTTGGAGCTCGTTTCTTCGATCGAGCTCACGGCACCGTACCATATTTTTACGGGAGAATCGTCGTCGTAGAAATCTTCGGTCTTGAACGTGTGATCCGAGATGAGTGGCTCCATGCCGAATCTTCTCAAGCGAAATATGTCGGCGAAGATGTTAGGCGCGCGCTTCTCCCATTTCTTGTAGGACGATTGGTCGCACCACAGAATCCAAGAATCGACGTTGCTCCCGCCTTTTCCTCTGCATCCAACGCCGGTGGTATATGTTTACAAATCCTCTGATCTCGATCTCCTCCTAGAATTGTAAAAAATGTCGCGCGATCAACGACTACCGTATGTTTCTTCGAAGGAGAGCAAAAGAATAAAGAACGATGATAAAAGGGTACACACGTTCCACGTTATCGCTATGTTGAAAATCGCGTCCATGAAATTCTTGATGTATTTTATTTTCCAGGCGTTCATCCACGTCGTGAACATACATCTATCGAGCATTCTTCGCAATCTCGAAACTTCATCATCCATCGTTCGCGCAAAAATAACGCTGAGAACCCTGAGAATGAATACTGAGCGCACTGAGAACACTGAGAACGCTGAGCGCACTTAATAGCGCGATCGCGAAACTTGTTCTGAGGAAAAACAGTCTCTCGACATTAATTTATACCTGCGATATTACTATTGTCGGGTCGTTATAATTCCATCGAATGCTAACGCGATAATCTAACGCGGTATGAAAAAATAATGCAACGCGGAAAAAATAATATAACGAGGTAATATAATGAGGCGCGATAAATTCTCGATTGCTCCGAAGGAAGTGCGGGAAAATGCGTTTAATCGCGTACGCGTGAAACGAATTAACGTTTATTTGCTAATTAATATTATTTTAATATTATTTTAATATTATTTTAATATTATTTTAATATTATTTTAATATTATTTTAATATTATTTTTCTTAGTATTAATATTATTTTTCTTAGTATTAATATTATTTTTCTCAGTATTAATATTATTTTTCTTAGTATTAATATTATTTTTCCAAGTATTAATAATACTTTTCTAGGTAGGTGATAAATCGACGCGCGCGAAATAAAAAAGTTAGCCGCTAATAAGTCGATAAGAGTATGCGTAAAACTAATTTACGATGCGAGAAACGTACGAGGTGCGCGAATCATCACGCGTATACACGCGTGAGCGCGACGCGTCTCCGTTCACATATCGCGCAATTGATCGCGTCTCTCCAACCACCAGTTGTGTAGTTTCCACACGTTTTCCAAGGCGCAATTCTTCGCGTGATAGGCGCAGCGATAGACGCGAGTCGAGGCTAACATTCGCAGGGGTCTGATATCCTCGTAATCGGCGTCGATGGTCTCGATCGTTAGATCGCGCTGCTCCGCGACCTCTCCCGCGATGTCGGTCAGTCACTTCTTTTCGTGGCCCTTGACGTAGATCATCACCGCGGCGTTCGACTCGAGATCCCTCGATGCGCGATATATCGCGACGCGAATCTGCTTTGCGTGTCTATACTCCACGTATCCGTCGGTCCAGTGGAATTCGTGGTGATTTAGAGTCAGCCAACCGGCCTGCGACTTCTCGCTCTTCGTCAGCAGATTCCACGACATCGGCGCGCGAAAGATGTGATGCGTCAGATCTCTACCGTTCGCGAGTATCGCTATCTCCTTCGTCACGAATCGCTCGTTGACGACGAAGCCCTGCAGATCGACAAAAATCAGCGGGGCGATATCGTCCGTGACCGTCATTGCGATCATCGTCGAGAGAGACTGACGTTTATTCGCGTCTCTCCCCGATATCTTCGCGGTTTCGAGTTTCCTCTCTCTCCCCCCATTCGATGCGTCGTCTTACAGGATCTTACGCACGACGTTCGTCAGCGGATTATATTCCACCACGCGATCGTGAATGATTAAACAGTACGCCGTGATGTTAGAAGGAACATTGTCCTTGCAGTCGAATTCCAGACGAACGTCCACAGTGGCGCTCCTAACCACTTCATTTTGGCGGGAACAATCTATCACTAAGAGCGGGCCGCAGTATAGAAATTTGTTCACAGTCAGGAGCGTCTCGTCGCTCGCGGATCCATAATACGATCGTCGAAATCTCGCGTAGGCATCGTACAGTACGGCGATCTTGTTCTTATCGAAGTCCAAATTCATATCGTCGTGCGGATAGAAGTCGGAATTGAGATACAACTTTACGTTGGTCAGATTGCACGCGTCGAATCTGGAAGCGTCCTGCGACAGGACGTTCTTCCTTCCGATCTGCAATGCGAAGATGACGTAATGCGATTTCTCGAGCTGCGTGGTCGCTTTTACGGCCCACGAGTGTTTAGCCGTGCTCTGCAGAAACGGAAACTCGTAGAGATTCCACGAGCGAAAGGGCTCAGATATCGCGCTCAGATATCGGCCGCTGTCCAACGCGCGCAACAGCGATAATTTATTGACGTCATTCAACACCATGTGCGGCACGCGCCACTGTATCTTCGTGAGCTCGACTCTAGGCTCGTATTCCTCGCGTGATATCAGACAATTGTTGTCGTTTCGCGCTCTTATCATAATCAGCTCGTGACACGCGTTGATGACGCGTTTGTAATCCTCACAGAAATCCAACAACGTGTCGAGAGGAACGCAAAAGTTGAAGTCGCCCGTCGCCGTGACGCTGCTCGATCCAGCCGCGAGATCCTATCCGGCGTTCTTCAAGGTCTTGCCTCGTTCGGCTGTCAATGACGTGTAGTTCTTGATCGTGCTCGTTATTCCGACATTACGATTACGATCGATTTCCACGCCATCGAGTTCGTATCGTATCTTCTCGAACATAAAGGCGACGCAGTTGTTCACGAGCCACGCCGGTGTCGAGAACGCAGACCGCTCCTTAAAGGCGGAGCCCGGCTTACCTTATTTGTCGCTCGACGCGGGTGGCGGCGGATTATTCTGTAGTCTACCTTCGACGTAGAGGAAACTTTCGCACGGCAGCGTGTATAGGTCCTGGTATTGTATGGATATTCGTATCTCGTCGCTGTATCCGAAAGTGGTGTTGGCGTACGGATTGTACGTGTGACTCTCGATCTTCACGATGCGATCGTCGAGGACGGGTTCCCCGCCGATGCTCAGAATGTCTCTCATGTCGTCGAACTATCGCGCGGCTCTCGGTATGACGAAACCCATGAATCGCAGAAAAGCGGTGTTGGCGGCGGACAACCCTCCGACGCTCCTCTCCCTCGAGTGCGGGACTCGAGTTCCCGCGACGCGATTGCGGTCACCGCCGCTGCTGCCGCGACGCGACGTCGTGGCGTTAGATTCATGCACGACGAGCATCGCCCTATTCCCTCCCCTGTCCTCCTATCTCGCCGCGTTCGTTCTATCATCTGCGTCGCACGTGAAATCGAATCGAGATCTCCTCGCCGCGGAAATCGATCAATCGATCATCCTGATCGATGACGCGCAGCGATACGTCGGTCACGAGTCGCGCGATGACCGGCAGATAAATGATCTGCCTCGGGATCTCCGACATTTTATATCCCGGCGGAACGTTCGGTGCGAATTTGTGTATCGCATGGGCAGATCTCCCGTTCACGTACGCGCCCGTCGTCAGGTTGCACTCCACGCAAATCGTGTTAACCGCGATAATGCTCACGGGCTCGTCGGACGCGTACCATTTGTTCGGTCGCAATACGCGAAACGGGAAAAAACCTAATAACGACCCGATATTGTTCGGTTTGCTGAAATTAATTCGGTACGCGCATTTGATTTCACTTCTCATGGTATTGTCGTTACCTCGTAGCGCGAGAACGCGTTCTCCGCCCCCACTGCTCTCGTCCTCTTCGTTCTCGATGTCGTACAGATATTCGTCGGCGTCGCTGGCGCTATCGCCGCTATCTCTCCCCCCGGTTCTCGCGCTCGGCGGCCGTCGCCGTTTTCGAAGAATCGCGGTTCTCAGATACGCGCTTATGTCGCGCAGCTCGTACGATCCGATCGAGGTCGTCTCGTCGTTATCGTCGAAGTAAAATTTATTGTTCGAGGAATTCACATTCGGAATCATGTTGTAGGTCTCGAAATTGGTCAGACCGAGCTCGTAATCGTCGTCGCTCAGATCGATGGGCGGAAAGTAGCTCGCCGTGAGAACGTTGCTTCTTCCGGTCAGCGTGAGAATCAGCGACATGATGACGCGCGCGATCACCGTTAGAGACTGAAGGGCTTCCTCTTTCTTCTCCCCCCCCCCCAATCGACTCGTCGAAGGAAGCGCAGGCACAATTATTTGCAGACGCTCTGATCGTACGTCTGCTGAGAGTCGTGATTGTATGCGATGCGCGTGTCGCGTCCGAGATAGCGCTCGAGTTCCCACGATGGCCGAAGGCATCGAAGTAGATAGTGTCTTTTCCCCTTTTAGCATACGCCACCCCAATGCCCGGCCCCGAGGCGTCGTCCACGTTCGCAATACCGCTCTCGTCACGACGAACTCGTGTCGGCAACGCGTCGCGCATGAACACGCCTCTGAAGTGACGCACGCGAGCGCGCGCAACCGCGCTATTCAACTGTTCGTTCGTCGTAACGCCGATCGGAGCTACGACGTCGTCTAACGCGCGCGGAGGCGCGACATTTTTTTTCTTCCTCCTAATTGTTCGTCTGCCTCGCCTCGCGATGCTTCCGCCGCTCTTGTAAGGCGCAAGATATAAACCGCGACCCTCCATCGCTCGATTGTGTCGTTGCAGTTCCTCCAATTGTCGACGCGCGGTTTTACCGTCGTTCACCATCTTCGCCACGCCGGCCGTTCCGCCGATCAGTGATCCTAGAGCTCCGAGCGGCAACAACGGTAGGAAGCCGCCGCGTTTCGCGACGGGAAGAGTTCGCTTTTTCGTCCTCCTGTTCGTCGCGGTCGTTCTCCTCTTGCCGTCGCCTTTCTCGCGCCTCTTCACGCTCCAACCATACCCATTCTTAGTTTCGTCTTCGCCTTCATAGCTGCCCATACGGCCGACGCCGCCACTCTCTCGCCGAGAGTCGAATCCCCGGCCCGGATACGCTCGAACGCTCTCGCTCCGAGCGCTCGATCCGCGACGTGTCGATCGGCGAGATCGCCGCTCCGCGAATAGGCGATGTCTTACTCGCGGCAATCCACGTCCAGCGGATTGACGCCTCGATCGCCTCACGCGAGCCGCCTCGCGAGACGAATACCGGGATCGCAAAATTGATATTCCGGTACATGTAGTTCGAACGAAAGGGCGTTTATAGTTCTATTAAGCAAACCACTATCGCCGACGACGGCTGTCGCGGCGTCCTCCGCGTATCTCATACGCCCCGATCGCCCACGCGCTCATCGTCACGCCATTTCGTTCTCCCGGCACATGCCGCAGTCTTTGATGCACTGCGGCGGACCGTCGATGTGCGTGTCTTGCCACGATTGATTGTGATGCTTATGACAGAGGCGATAACGCTGCACGTCCGGATCGTCAGATGTATAGACAATCTGTTCCACAATCGATCGAAATTCGTTCCACGAAATCGCCGTACTTGTCCAGCAGAAGCTTCTTCGGAACGTACTGCAACTGATCGACGCTGAGTCAAAGCTGCCAGATCTCCGCCGCAAGCAACATGCAACACGGCGTGGAGGGGGTAATGAGGATGTAAGCGTAAGCGTACGTGTGAGCTCGGATAGCTTCGGATAGAAGAAGAGGACAGAATACAGTCTTCTGTCTCCTTCCTACCGAAAGACGGGTACACGCGACGCGTCACGCTCTACGATATCTCGATATGCGCTCAATGTTTCTTTTACAGCATTTTTATTGTATAATGTGTTTAGAATATGTCTCTGTATATATATATATATATATATATATATATATATATGTATACACATACATATTATAAACATATTATACGATAAAGAATAATATTTAAATAATTATAATATATTTGTATAATGTATATATATATATATATATATATATATATAATATTTAATATATTTAATATATTTATAATATATATATATATATATATTATATATATATACAGGGTGTTCAAAAAGTCCCGATACGGGGGAATAACTCGAAAAGTAAGGGTCGGACAAAGAAATTTTTCGAACAAAAGTTGTAGGGCTTACTCCGAGCTTTACTCTCGTGACCTTGAGTTTGACCTTGAGCTTGACCTTCAAGGTTATTTGAAGGTCAAAGTGTTTTTTTAAAATGGGAACCCCTATTTTTGATTGTATATTCTTATAGCTGACCTCGAGAGCTTTCCAAAACACTATAATAAAATATTTTTCCCTCAAGCATTTATCGAGTTATGAGGCTTCAAATCATTTCTTAATTTTACATAAACCGTAAAATATCTTGTAAAATATTCACTTTTCGATTATTTTACCTTAATACTTTTATGTACAAAATAATGAGAGGAATCAATTGGTGTAAAGAAAACATACAGTTGTTTTTAAGAAAAAATATGTAATTGTTAATTGCAAATTACATATTTTTTCTTCGGAACAATTGTGTTTTTTTTTAGACCAATTGATTCCTCTCATTATTTTGTAGATAAAAGTATTAAGGTAAAATAATCGAAAAGTGAATATTTTACAAGATATTTTACGGTTTATGTAAAATTAAGAAATGATTTGAAGCTTCATAACTCGATAAATGCTTGAGGGAAAAATATTTTATTACAGTGTTTTGGAAAGCTCTCGAGGTCAGCTATAAGAATATACAATCAAAAATAGGGGTTCCCATTTAAAAAAAACACTTTGACCTTCAAATAACCTTGAAGGTCAAGCTCAAGGTCAAACTCAAGGTCACGAGATAAAAGCTCGGAGTAAGCCCTACAACTTTTGTCCGAAAAGTTTCTTTGTCCGACCCTTACTTTTCGAGTTATTCCCCCGTACCGGGATTTTTTGAACACCCTGTATACAGGGTGGGCCATTTTAAGTGATCCACTCAAATATTTCGGAAAATAATGAAAAATCAAAAAAATGTTTCAGATAAAAGTTGTATGGCTTGAAGGGGGCTATCAGATAGTGGCAATGATTTGACCTTGGAGAGTCATTTGAAGATGACGTAAAGGTAACCTTCAATTTCTTAAATGGAACTCCCTATTTTTTATTACATATTCGTGTAGCTTATCTCGAGAGCTTTCCAAAACACTATAATAAAGTATTTCTTCATTGAGTACTTTTCGAGTTATGAGGCTTGAAATCATTTCTTAATTTTGTATAAACCGTAAAATATCTAGTAAAATATTCATTTTTCGATTATCTTGCTTTAATACTTTTATGTACAAAATAATGAGAGGAATCAATTGGTGTAAAGAAAACACATAGTTATTTTTAAGAAAAAATATGTAATTTGCAATTAACAATTACATATTTTTTCTTTGAAACAACTATGTGTTTTTTTTACACCAATTGATTTCTCTCATTATTTTGTACATAAAAGTATTAAAGCAAGATAATCAAAAATTGAATATTTTACTAGATATTTTACGGTTTATACAAAATTAAGAAATGATTTCAAGCCTCATAACTCGAAAAGTACTCAATGAAGAAATACTTTATTATAGTGTTTTGGAAAGCT